GCATTGTCTCCCCACATGTGTGCCTGTGTTGGATGGTGTCTCCGCCTTCCCGAGGTCTTGCCTCCCTTGGTCCCCCATTGTTTCCCATTCTCTCCCATTGTCTCCCCGCATGTGTGCACCTGTGTTGGTTGGATGGTGTGTCCGCCTTCTTGAAGCCTTAGCTCCCATTGTTTCCCATGGTCTCCCCAAATGGTGTGTCCGCCTTCCCGACGTCTTGTTTCCGAATTGTCTCCCATTGTCCACACATGTGTGCCTGTCTTGGATAGTGTGTCCGCCTTCCGAGGTCTTGTCTCCCCTTGTCTCCCTTCTTGTCTATCCTTGTCTCCGGTTGTCTCCACGTGTTTCCCATTCCCGTTGTCTTCCATTGTCTCCAATTTTTTCCCATTGTCTCCCCACATGTGCCTGTTTTGGATGGTCCACCTTCCCGAAGTCTTGTTTTTCATTGTCTCCCATTGTCTCCCTAGATATGTGTGCTTGTGTTGGATGGTGTGTCCGCCTTCTTGACGTCTTGTCTCCCCGTGTCTCCCCGTGTCTCCCATTGTCTCCCATTGTCCCCCCAATTGTCTTCCATTGTCTCCCTTCTTGTCTCCCCGTCTCCCCTTGTCTCCGGTTGTGTGCCATTGTTTCCCACTGTCTCCCCACATATGTACCTGTGCTAGGCTGCTAGACCGCCTTCCGAGGTCTTGTCTCCCCATTGTCTCCCATTATCTCCCCACATTGGTGCCTGTGTTGGATGGTGTCTCCGCCTTGGATCATATCCGCCTTCCGGAGGCCTTGTCTCCCAATTGTCTCCCCACACGTGTGCCTGTGTTGGATGTTGTGCCCGCCTTCCCGAGGTCTTGTCTCCGTTTGTCTCCCATTGTCTCCCCACATGTGTGCCTGTGCTGGTATGTCTGCCTTCTCTGGCCTCTCCCTTGTCTGCCAATGTCTCCCACTGTCTCCCCACATGTGTGCCTGTGTTGGATGGTGTGTCCCCCTTCCCAAGGTCTTGTCTCCTCTTCTCTCCCATTGTTTCCCACATGTGACCACGTCCACTTTCCCGAGGTCTTGTCTCCCCCTTGTCTCCCATTGTCTCCCTTCTTGTTTCCCTGTGTTGGATGGTGTGTCCGCCTTCCCGAGGTTTTGCCTCCCTTGTCTCCCAGCTTGTCTCCCAGTTTGTCTTCCTTCTTGTCTCCCAGCTTGTCTGCCAACTTGTCTTTCTTCTTGTTTCCCTTTGTGGCGGGTGGTCGCATTTTGCATTTTTTTCCCAAACAATGTACGGTCAGGGGTTCTTAATGCTTTCTCATGTCCTGTGTTTGACCCTGTTCCTCAACCCGTCTTGAATCCACAAACTGTTTGGGGTCTACGGTGGTGTCATTTAGACTACGGTGGTGTCATTTAGACTGTAGAATACGATAGTTCAATATATATATATATAATATATATTTGATATTATTTGAATTTATATTAAACAAAAAACTAAATCTAGTAATTTGACAACATTTGTGGTACAGAATTTATTGCATATATATATATATGTATATGTATATACTGTATATATATATACACATATGCAGTACTTTATATTACATTACTTTGAAATCATAACACGTAAAACATCGAGAACATGTGCAACCCAAGTGACATGTATAAAACATTGTAAAATGTGAAAACGCCATGTGCAATCCCAGCGAGGTTCACATCTCGCTGTCCAATTGCCGGACTGCAGGAGTGCTGCAGTGTGAAGGAGCTCACAGAGTGGGCTCAGAGGGAGAAACTCGGCGCTCGGTTTCAGTCAGGCCTTGAGGAGGTGGTGAAACAAGGTGGACTTGACGCGTCGAAGTCCATCTCTGGGCATTCAGTTGCCACCCATGCGGAAAAAAATACTTGGGGCCATCAAACGCAAACTGATTGGTAGCAGAACAGTGCGCTTCGGGGAAGTGCTGAAATTTGAACCCATTCTGAACCAAAAACCAAGGTTCAGTAAGTGTCCCTGGGTAGACCTGGATGAAATAGAGGTCCGGAATGACAAGGTGACCTTGCAGGCCGCCATCACAACCTGGCGTTTTTGCGCCACTGGCCTAGATGGTCAAGAAGAGACATCGTTAATGGAAAATGCCTTTAACGTTAAAGGCATTGTCCATTAACGTTGTCTCTTCTTGACCATCTAGGCCAGTGGCGCAAAAACGCCAGGTCGTGATGGCGGTTAAGATGTTTTTAACGCTTGGAAACCCAAGCCGAAGGCCGGGAACTGCGTTCTGGGGTGGGTTCTCTGGATTCATCTCTTGATTCATGGGATTCTTCACGATTTTTCATCTGCTTCGCGGGACATGTTTGATGCAGCTTCAATACACCGATCATGGCCGTACATGCAGGCCATTCAAGTGTGCGATGAAATGTTGCGAGTGCCATACCGCTGTAGTCATGAATTCTCTTGGAGTTTCAACAACGCGTCCAGTTTCATGCACCCAATGACCCAATGACAAGACCAAGATGATAGTGACATCACAAAATATCACCGTGCTGTCAGGGCATCTGCGAGATCCTCCAGGACTCAGACCTGGGAAGGGACATTTCTTACACTGAGATTCTGCGTTCAATTTTTTTTGACAGGATATGCTCGAGGGGCTCGGAGTAGTGGCCTCGGTTTGGATCGTTTTCCCACCAAATGTTCATGTCGACATATTTCTAGAATTTTCATTTTCGAATTTTGCTGACCCGTCGGTGCTTATATTTTCCGCACACCACATTGCTCTTCCGATGACTTGCGACTTGCGGCAGCTTTCCGTTTGCGAGGCTTTCTTCGTTTCAATGCCTTGCTGCTGCAGGCTTGATCTGGGATCGGTGTCTACAAGCAGAAAATGGGAACAGAAATCTGTGGCGAACACAACACAATATAGAAAGATAAAGAAATATAAAGAAATATATAGAAATATATAGAAATGTACAGAAATAATTAGAAATATATAGAAATATATAGAAATAATTAGAAATATATAGAAATATATAGAAATAATTAGAAATATATATATATAGAGAAATATATAGAAATAATTAGAAATATATAGAAATAATTAGAAATAAATGGAAATATATAGAAATAATTAGAAATATACAGAAATATATAGAAATATGTAGAAATAATTATATATATATATATATATAAATAGACATATATAGAAATGCACAGAAATATATAGAAATATATAGAAATAATTAGAAATAATTAGAAATATATAGAAATATATAGAAATAATTAGAAAAATATAGAAATATGTAGAAATGATTATATATATATATATACATAGAAATATATAGAAATATATAGAAATGTACAGAAATAATTATTAAATATAGAAATATATATATATATAGTAGAAACATATAGAAATTACAAAGATTTATAAAGTACAATGTCGATAGTGTAGAGACAAGGGTAATGTACTCTCTACACAGATTCATTAAGAAGTTGTGTGGATGATTTTGCTTTGTGACTTCGAATCGCAGGGAGAAGCCTCTGGAGTGAAGTGCTTCGAGGCACCGGCAGGGATGCAGTGCAATCAACAGATAAACACCCCGCAGTTTATGGGATAATATCCGAGGTGACCGTTCATAACTGGTCTTGTCATTAAAGTCAACTGTACCACATAGTCCTGAGGACGGTATTAGCGTTTGAACTATTCATGAATATCTTTTGTCAGCATGGCAAACGTTTGAAGACGTTCGACCATTCGAACCTCAGGAAATGCAGCAATTGCTGCCGGTGCCTCAAAGCACTTCACTCCAGAGGCTTCTCCCTGCATAGAGATTTGAAGTCACCAAGCAAAATCATCCACACAACTTCTTAATGAATCTGCGTAGGGAACATTACCCTTGTCTCTACACTATCGATATTGTACTTTTTAAATCTTTATAATCTATATATATTTCTATATATTTCTATTTTTATGTCTATATATTTATAATTATGTCTATATATTTCTATATCTTTCTATATTGTGTTGTGTTCGCCACAGATTTCTGTTCCCCGCAAGTCATCGGAAGAGCAATGTGGTGTGCGGAAAATATAAGCACCGACGGGTCAGCAAAATATGTCATCTATATATGTATCTATATGTCATAAATGGTCAGAGTAACGACTACTGTACATGGTCATAAGTCATGAAGCATTAAAATACGTCATCAGCTGGCCATTTTCTGGGACACCACTTAGTTGAAAATCCAGTATACTCCGATTTGTTGTGACTGAGCTCGGCAAAGCCAGACGAAGTTCTTCTCAGTATGACTCCGACCGGTTGTCGACGAGAAGAAATAGGGTCTGTGAAATGGGAATCCATGCAGCAGAGAAAAAGTTAACGTGCCATAGGTGATGAAGAGGGAAAGAGTCATCATGGATTCCGGGGTGGAATTACAGGTTCTCGTGATCATTGTTCGATTTTTGCCAAGAGGAGGGGAATACCACATGATTGTACAAATGTATGTATATGATTGTATATGTATCCAAGTCAAACGTTACTTTGGGGCTCAATTCGCAATGTTTGCCACACCGGGATGGGTGAATTGGTCTTCCAACCCGAAATCCAGAGTCAGAATTGAATTGTTCTTCCCTTGTCGGGGGAAGTTTTAGAGTTTGAGGTTTGTGGCTGGGGCTTCGGTTTATTAAACCGGCTTAATTTAAAATCAATGCTGGAGATGATTCCCCATGTGCCACAGAATCATGATGTTCAAGCATCCAAATAATGACAGTACTGTAGTTATAACAATAATAGTAAATTTGTAAATACATGTAAGTAATGATAACGATGGTAGCAACAATATTCATCACAATGATACTACTCCTACTTAAAACACGTGCGACAATGTTCATGACAATAGTAGCAATATCAACAACACCAATATAACGATTAACAATAATCAACGAAAACCATGCCCATTACAGTAGGAATAATACAACTGTGACAATTACAGTAGCCAACTATGACAATAACAGTCATAGTAGTCCTAGTAGGAATGAGCCGAAGGTGGGACACTCCAAGATGGACGTCTCCAGGGACGGCAAGGCGGGGCGATGTGGGAAATTGAGCCAAGCAGGTTGGCAGGTGGGATGCGGTGGGATATTTTCCAACAAAATTAGGGACACTTGGAGGTATACATGGGTATTTGATATTGACCAGTAGAAGTTAGGATTTGAATGGATTTGGGATTGTGACTGCCTGTGTATCCGTATGTGCCATGCTCTGTTGTAGCCGCGGTGGATCTCGCTGCTGCCAATGCAGGCTGATGTCAAAGCCACTGCGCGAAGTGCAGAAGATCACGAGATTTTCTGCTTGCGGAATGAGGCTAGAGTCCACCTAAGCCTTTCAAAAATACTGGGATAGGGACACCTATTAACCACCAGTACAATGGGATGGGATAGGGGTATCATGGCTCACCTGAATTTTCCAGTAGAACTGGCAAAGTACAGCATCAGTTCGGGTCCTTCAATTTCGCCTTTCAGTTCGGGACCGGTGCCCGAGGTCCACTTGCTGCGGCGTGAAGTGGCATGGCTTCAGCAGGAAGATGGAGCTCCGCAAGGGTTGAGCATCCAGCACTGCAGACCTACCGGGCAGGGGCTAGGGAAGGTCTCCCAGCAATTTAGATGATCAGGACTTCGGGATGACACGATGATACAAGACGACTACATGCAATTGGTATGGTTATAACTTGTGAGAACTTAGAACTGATCAGAGAATGTTTGTGGTTGAACATGTTGGAAGTCACTTACTTCTCAATGGGGCATTGGCTAAGCATGGTTGCTGGCGACTTGCTCAATAATAAAGTGTCTTGTCGAGTATCGCTCTTTCGAATCATCAGCCATGCATACATAGTGGAACAGTGTACTTTATTGGTTTGGACCAAACATAGTGGAACATTCTCTATCATTACATACAGATGTTATACCGTTGTACCAACTAAGTCCGAAAGCCAGCACTTGGATATAACTGGTATTACGGTATATATAATGACATCTCACATAAAATGTACATATGATATAATATATACATATAATTAGGGATGCTGGGGAACCAACGTGTATCATGTAAGCCTTCCTGTGGCACAGATTTCCGAGGTACTGCAGCAAGGCCAGAACCAATGCGTTTTGGAATGCACGCGCCCCGATTGGTACGAGACAAGGATGGAGACATGTATTGTGAGTGTTGTGGTTACAGTTGCAGATGTTGTTTCATATTTTTTTGTGGAATGAACCATCACGGCAGCATCGCGTCGAACGCTGAACCGGCACTCCCCATGAAGCCCAGCCCGGCAGGATGTGACCGGAGACAAAGCCACCGAGAAAGTTGAAGAGAAAGTTCCCCCGACGAAGGAGGAAATCGTGGTGGCACTGAAGAATGAGCGTGAGTGTCTTAAGCAGGAAGCCCAACAGTTGCGACAAAGCCGAGCGCCAGGAGCCATGTTGCAGCTGAGTTGCATGAGTTAAGCAAGAGTCGCAGGCAATTCAGCAGTGTTGAATGGTCACTTGTATACATTCAATAGTTCTTAATATTTCTTAATTAGGGACATTGTGCCTATGTCTTTCCGTTTCCGGATACGTTGTCAGAAGGAATCCTAGTAGGTGGATTCACGGCCAAAAGCCAGCTGCTGTATTGATTTTGGGCAATGTCAACCTGCTGACCGGGGGGTGGTTCATAAGGATGACCAGATCACTGGGTGGTTGATGCAATTGTGGTTTGCTAGTGATTCCGCCAATTTTGACGGGATTTCATGGATTTTACGGCAGATTTCATTGATTGCAGGAGCATCATCGCCAAGCAAAAAAGGTGGAGATCAGCTTGTGGATCCGAAAAAACCCGATGGATCAAGAGCTGCACCCACAGAAGAGTCCGAGAATACAGCCGACAAAGCGACGCCCAGCAAGCAGGAAGCTGCCCCGAGAAACATGACTCCAACCAGGTCTGAAGCAAAGAAGTCAGATCTAACGGAGAAGTCATCCGCCGTCAGAGATATCTCAAGGAGCAAAACACCAAGCCGGTCCACTGCAAAAAATGGAGCAACTGAGAAACCAGCACCAGTGGGGAAAGATGCTTCAAGAAGCACTTCCGGCAGACCTGCCAAGATTGTTGCTTCGAGTGAGCCACCGTCTCGGGGCGGGACTTCCAGAAGTGCAACGCCCAGACTGAAATTTACACCTGCTGAGAGAAAGGTGGAGTCGCCCAACAAGCGCAGGAGCTGAATTGCGCAGTCGGGGGATGTTTTGTTTTTTTTGGTTCCCAAGGGATGGAGAACAGATATTGTAGATATTTATGTCCAAGAAAACGATGGACCAGGAAAGCCGGTTTTCTGGAGAAGTTTTCTGGAAGAATGTCCCAAATAAAACCGTGCACGAGGACACCTTCGCCCGACCCAAAGAAGGGCCGGATAGACTCTGCCGCGCAGGCTGCGATTGACACGAGGGAAGACTTGGGGGTTTGGCGAAGCACACCCTTTATCGACCCACTGGCTGGAGAAGGTTGTTTGTGGCATGCGGCTGATACGGCGCCCTTGGAAGGGTTGCCAATTTTGAGATGTGCCATTTACGATCCCTTGGAAGGGTTGCAAATTTCAAAAATGAGGCTTGCGCAAATGGGGGTATAGGATTTGATCTTTTTTGAGTTTTTAACATGTTGCACATGCTTTCGTATGATCATCAGGGGGGGTGGGGTGGAGGGTGGGGGGGGTTATTAACGTTCTTGACGAGCACTTCCTTTACGTTACGGAAGATGTTCACATGCTGTCGTATGATCATCGGGGGGTGGGAGTGGGGGGTGGTGGGGGTGTATTAACGTTCTTGACGAGCACTTCCTTTAGGTTACGGAAGATGCACACGTTGCACATGCTGTCGTATGATCATCAAGGGGCGGGGGTTGGGTGGGGGGTTATTAACATTCTTGACGAGCACTTCCTTAACTTTACGGAACACGTTGCCGTTGTTGACATGTTGCACTGTCTGACGCGCTTTTTGTGGATCTCTTGCGTGAACTTGTTTTGGCCGTGGTCGGATTTTATTTGTATGTGATCAGGGCTGAAACCCCCAGCTCTGTTTAGATCACTATGGATCCCTTCACACCTCCGCGGAGGACGTTGGCAAGGAATCAGCGGCTGGGTTCGAATTTGTCGTTTTCTCTTGATTTATAAATGTTGACACTAAATGTATATGTGATCACTAAAAAACTATATTACGTTGTTGTCAAAGTGGTTGTGCCAAAAAGCAAAGTGTTTGAACTGGGGACATCATGTTATATAAAGATTTAACATGGATGGATTGACTTGCTGACTTGGTTTCGGGATGATGATTATATAATATATAACAAGTTGACATTTCAACTTTTATTACTGGGGGCTTGTTTCATTTTGACATGAAGAATCTCAGCAGGTCTCAGCTGGACATGGCGTCACAACGCTGCCTTGTTGCAGACTGTGGCTTCTGCGTTGCCACAAGCGCTCTGGCACCGCTAGCGTCGAGAAGAGGAAAAAACTGGAAGAGTGAATGCCGCCCTGATATGATTCGAATGATTGAAAATCATAGATTTCTAATGTTTTTTTTTGGACCCTTGAAGAGCAAAATCGAATCACCGCGCAGGCGAAACGCACATTTTCACTCTTGAGTCACACGCCTGCCAATCGAAATGAATGTCCATGTTGCAAACATTTTTTGACGACTCCTGCAAATACCAGCATTTTTTGCCTTACCTTCAAAAATCAGAATTTCAAATTCGTCACCCTTACAAGGGCGCCGAGTCAACCGGTTGCCTTGTTTGTCTCATCTTGCCAGCAACAGTGACAACAACTTCTTGCAATAGCTGCTCCAGACATGTCCAGAGCATGTGTGTTTCCATTTCCACCTTGCTTATTTCGCTGGCTCGCATAGGTCCATATGTCACACTTAATTACCTTCTTGACTGTACATGGTGCATGGCTACATCAGATTTAGGTATATACATACTACTGTACATATGTATACATAGTATACATATATATATTGTACATGCATAGAGTATCGCACCGTTTGATTTGAGATGTAGGCCTGGAAAACTTTGGCGAAAGCAGCCACTGTAACCCGGCTGCATAGATATGATACAACTTGGTGTTTGCGTTGTTGAACTTCTCAGAGCTGAGCACGATCATCAGCAATCAAGATGGCGGTGGCATGCACTTCCACCATTTTCTATATAAAAATGACAAGAATGTACAAGGCGTTTCTTAAAACCAGGGCAAATCCCACTTAATGACTGAAGGAAGTGTGCACTGCATGGCTGTGGTGTATGTACCATGCAGCAGAACGCTGATGTCGATTTTAGGTGAAGCCGATTCAGGCTACCAGCGCGCGGAAGTTCCAGCAGGAGAAGCTACGACGAGCCAAGAGTCCAACCCCCAAACAGAGGAGCGTCTCTCCGGTTTCTCGGCGGATGTTGTAGGGTCAACTCCGGACAATGGACGGCCGGTCAGTCAAACGTTCAAACCCCAACTCTCTGATTTGGATTGATTTGGGATGATTCGGGCATATTTGGGCCATTTGATGTGGGTCATTGGGAATAGTTGTTGCCCTGGATACCAAGATATACCAAGCTTCAAGGTGGGGCCAACTCCAAGCTACGCCTCCTTGGAAGCTGGGCCATTCAGGTTGGGACTCCCAAGCGAAGTACGAGCCCGAAATCGCCAGCGAAGGTTCGCGGGTGTCATAACCTTATGTACTGGCTTTCTTCCTGACGTTCTGGCCCTGTGGCTTTTCAAGATCTTTGGGGTTGAACCCAGCAACCAGAATTCATGTTTCATTCATGTTGATCATATTTGATCATCTTAAACCATGTTAAATCCACACCACACCCCCAAAAGAAGCCGTGCTGTCTTCGTTGATGGGAGCCATGGGAGCCATGGGAGCCATGGGAGCCGGCTGGCCCGGCGGGCGTTGCAGTGGGGATTTACAACGAAAACAACTGAGTTTTTAATGGATTATCGTATATGATCGTTGTAAAAGAAGCCATAAAAGAAGCCATATCAAACCATATCAAGCCATATCAAGCCAGCCCGCTGCCACTCTTTTTTTGCAATGCCCTCAGGTTTCGCCTCGTGGTGCTTCACCTGCAAAAAAACGTGGGATGACGATGAAGGTCACCCGGAGGGAAAACTGACCCGGAAAAAATTGGGCAAACATGGGGAAAAAAATGGTAGAAGGGGGAAGCTAGGACAAGACAGGTTTTAGGTCAGGTGGGAGGCTGTTATGTTTTTGTTCAATCTTGTAATCTGAAATGTTTGACTGTTTCTTTTTGGTTATATTGTTATATATATATATAAATGTTTTAGGTTGTTGTAATAATGTTTGGTTTCAATGAGGGTAGGTTTTGTTGAGGGTGTTTTGCCTGTTATGTTTTTTATGTTCTTGTTCAATGGTTCTTCCTTCCCTTTGATGTTTTATGTGTTGTATGTTCTGGGTTTTTTTTTGTCGCTAACTTTTCTGGGGCTTTCTGTTTGAATGTGGTTAGGATTTGTTGAGGTTGTTGTGATTTAACCATCTGGATACGAGGGAAATGTTGCGTTAAGGTAGTCTATGATTTCTTGGTGTTTTATTTGTTTCATTTCTTCATCAGTTTTCTTTTGTTGTTCTATTTGTTTTGGGTTAGGTTTGTTCAAGTGTTTTTTATGTCGTTGGGTTCTTTCGTGTCTTAACATTTTGTTCTTGAAATCTCAATTTTGCAAATGGGACATTCAACCTTTTCTTTCTGTTTCTCAAGTTTTTGTCGTTTGTATTGTTCATGGCGTTCCCGCTCTTTTTGTCTTAATTCTTCTCGGTGATTTTCTCTATATTGTTGTTTATATTCTGAATATTTTTGACATAATGCCTTTCCATTAGCAAAGTTTTCTAGAGTTTGCGTCTTTTTACATTTTGAACATTTCCTACCTTTATGTTCATTCATTAAAGTGTTCTGGGACTATATCTTTAAATGGGTTTCTGGGTCTCAAAGATTACTTCATAATATGTTTAAGCGGAAGTTCCACTGTTTCATGACTTTGGCAGAGCTGAATGTCCTTCAAACTCTTCTTGCACATCATCACAGCCTTGGAGTTTGTGAACAACATCCTCATTGCACCTCGCCAAATGCCTATATATAGTAAGAGGATGCTATTTACTTATAAAAACTGTGGATGTTGTGAGAAAGAAATGACTAAAGTAAAGGTTTTATTGGACAATATTTTTCCCGCTGGAATTTGTGATGAGATATGTGATTACAACCTTCACTGTTCAAAATGTAAAGACTTAAACGATAAGGAGCGTAGATACATAGATTTCAATTATCATTTTGACTATTTTAATGATAAAAAACTGACGAGAGTAGAAACGACAATCTATTTCTTTAAAACAAGGATGGAGAAATCACCTATTTATTTATCCAACACGAACCGAACAAGCACTCGGCAAATGAAAAAAGAAATTGATGTTTTAATGGATACATTCAAACTCAAGCAAGAATTCAAACATGACAAACTGTTCTTAATGGCGATTAAGTCTTTTGTGAAAAAGGAGTGGAAAACTACCTATCACTTCCTTAAAAACTTTCACGACCTTACATATATGACATATTGTAAGAACAAACGGGAGTGGTGGTTTCCTCAAAACGATTGGACTTATACATTCAGAAATAGGGAGTTTAAGGTAAATGACATTTTGAAAATATTTTTGCGTGAATACACCGAAGAACTTTTCAATGGTTATGAGACATATTTGAACATAGAAGAAATAAAAGAGCACCTACAAAAAGTGGTAAATACTTAAAGAAAAATAGCTATATATAATAAGAAAAAATGAGTAAAGCAAAAGTTCAGGCTATAGATAGAGATAATATCGGTATATATGCTGACTTTGGTAGTGAAAGCGAAGATGAACACGAATGTGATAGACAAGCAATAGAAAAAGAAGATGAAGAGATTCGAGACTTTGTAAAGTGTCATCCTATGCCTTCACCAGATGATGAGGAAGGAGAATACTGGTGGTTTAAAGTAATTGATAGGCTTAAAAACGACCAAGGAATAAATGGAATGATAATTTTTTCGTTTATGAGATTTGACATTATAAAAAGAATGTATGAAAACCTCACTAACAAAACAATTATCGTTGAATGTGGTAAGGAACTTAACCGTGATGGAAAATGGGATGCTATGGCAATAAATCAAACTCTATTAGCATTAGCAATAGATGAACTAATTTTAGATGATACAGACAAACCTATCACAAGTCAAGTCAGGATAATTGAACACTGGTGGGATGGAATAGGAAAGTGGAAAGCATAAATGATTAATTCATAATATCTTAACAAAACATATTATGAAGTAATCACCCATCCAAACACAAACATAAACCCCAACAGCCTAAACAATTGTCCCCCTCATCTTAAACCAAACCATCAAGTGAAAGTTAGGGGCAAAATATTCACAAAACCCCCACCACATAAAACATCAAAGATAAGGAAGAAACATTGAACAACAACATAAAAAAACATAACAGGCAAAACACCCTCAACAAAACCTACCCTCATTGAAACCAAACATTATTACAACAACCTAAAACATTTATATATATATATATAACAATATAACCAAAAAAAACAGTCAAACATTTCAGATTACAAGATTGAACAAAAACATAACAGCCTCCCACCTGACCTACAACCTGTCTTGTCCTAGCTTCCCCCTTCTACCATTTTTTTTGGGGACACACGGGTAAAATCCTCAAAAACAGGTTTTGGAATGACTTTGGAAGATGATGTTCTTTGTTGAAATGGCACCTTTTGCAGATCAGTTCCGTGCCAACATGGGGGTGAGCCAGGGAGTGTGTTGACACTGGGCAGTACCTTGTGCCAATGACAATGACCCGGCCTAGTTTCGTACACTTTCTTCCAGGGCAGCACGCAAACCTGATTTGCATCCCCCCACCCCACAGAACACACTTGCTCATTTGGGTATGGGTCAATACCTATAGATACATTTTTAGTAGGATGAACATCCATAAATCCCAGCTATGACTTGGGGTTCACTAGGTACCAGGGTTTTGACCCATCCCCATTTGGGTTGAATCCAGATGTTACTTTCTTTGGCCAGGTTGCTTTGACGTCCGGTACCCCTCAGATCTTTGATCGCCTGCACAAGGATCATGCCCACCGAATGTGGGTGCTTGAGGACAGCTCGCTACGCAAACCTTTTTTTTTTCCCCACTGGCTATATTATACCGGCTATGCAGTACACATATATTTCACATATTTATATATATATACATGCACATATTTTTGTTTAATCTATCAATCAATCAATCTATCCATCCATGCTCCGATGGTTGCAATTTCAACTACCATCCTTGACGCTAGGAGCGACAGGTTTTGGCGCAGGAAACCGAGCAACGCGTGGCCAAGGCGCTACAAGGGCGAACAGTCGCTTGGCTCGGATCAAACCCGTTCTGTTCACATCAAAATTGCTGGTATCATGGGTAATACTGACACAATAATGGTTGAATGATGGGATAATGATTGGTTAATAATGGATAATGTGGAAAACCCATGAAAACCCGGTAAACCGATAGACCATGCCCAATGCAAACATGGTTGATGAAGGCAATCCCCAAATGGACTTCATGTTTCCATGGTATGGTTTGACCAATTCCCAATGTGAGGCATCCCTGATTTTCATTGATTTTCTGGTTGTTGACATCACCCAAGTCTGCCCCAAAATGCCAAGTCGTCATCATTGTTCACATGAACATGGATTATCATTTGGTGGTGAACCACCAATTTTTGGACAACGCCTCTCTGGTTATAAGTGAACCCCACTTCGATGCAGTGTTTTTTGCTTCACTCTTTTCCCAAGCTTTGTCAACTGGGGTGTCGAACAAAACACAAAGGAAAATGAGGACTGGCTAGGAATGGTTGGAATGGAGTGGCCGGCCAAAAATACAGAGGTAAATGCCGAGTGCCAAGGTGTTTGCTTGCCGGTGTTTTATTGATGAAGATCTGCCTGACCTGCCAAAAAGATGCAATTTTGTTTTTTGAGAATCTTACCAAAGTCAGTTCAAAAACCCATGGGCAAGTTTGAGTTCTAAAATTGTTGGCCCAAGCTTGTCAACCTATTCTGCTCGTGGTTGCAGTGTCTCCACAGCTAAAAGTTGCGGATGATGCAACATGGACTTTTTCCCGACCATAATTTGAGATGGCAAAGCTGTGAATTTAAGTATCTTAAGATCTCTTAGTCTTATTCAAAAATCATCAACCAGAAACCGACCATTTTTTTCTTGTCGATTTCCTGCCCATGGACTCCATGGACTCCATGGGCTCTGTGGATTCCCAGGTCACCGTGGGTTCTGCCGCCGAAGTGCGCGCCGCTGGTCATCGGCTCTACGACGAAGCCCTCCGGAGCCGGGAACGGCTGGAGGCCAAGCGACGGCAGCAGCGAGACGCCGAAGCGTTGGAAGATTTGCAAAGAGAAACTTGGTGCGGAATGGACAAGAAAAAGCGGTTGTTCTAGTGGGAGAATCTCTGATTTGGTGTTCTCTTTTGTGTATATTTCCATGTTGTTGCTAAATTTCTGTACACTGACCGTTGCTATCCGTTGCTGGTTGTTCCAAATCCAAATTGTGTTGTCGGGCTGAACCCTGTGTTCCTAGGGTGTGTGTTCAAGGGTCTGAATTGGCAGACACGATATTCGCACAATATGTACTGCCTAAACATGCATCCGTTCTTACTACAGGAACTGTCAGTTCAAAGAGTTTTGAATGTGATTTCAAGTTCATAATCCGTTTCGAGATGTTTCAAGTCTGGTTTTGAGACAAACCCAGCCCTAGCTGGTTTC